TCCAATAAGTTTCCTTCTAATAATTTTCTCTAATAATCTTTTTATTTTCAATAAATGTGTTGTAAATATTTATTTTCTTCAATAATTTGATCTAAATATTTTTTTTATGTAAAAATGATATTATAAAATAAATTGTAACTAAAAAAAATTAAAAAAAAAATATATCAATTTTTTTTTACTGAAAATAATGAAAAACAAACAAATATATTAAAATACAAGATAAAATTTGGATTAAAATATTTTAATAATTCCTAATCATTATTAGATTTTAACAATATTATAAGATAAATTGTAACTAAAAATAATAAATAAATAAATAAATATATCAAAACAAATATATTAAAATAAAAGGTAAAATTTGGATAAATATATTTTAATAATTATTACTAATCATTATTAGACTTCTGCAATATTATAAAATAATTAAAAATAAATATATCAAAATAAAAGAAATAATTTTCATAAAAATATTTTAATAATTACTGATAATTATTAGATTTTGTAATATCATAAAATAAACTGCTAATAAAAATAATTAAAAAAAAATACATCAAAAAATATATTTGAAAATTAAAGAAAAAATTTAGATAAAAATACTTTAATAATTATTTTTATTTTTATTTATTGATTATAATGTAAATGATTATTAATTATTATTATATTTCCCTTTAATATTATTACTAATTACTAATTATTTTCTTGCTTCAACGTTATTATTAATTACAAAATTATTCATTTGCATTAAAAATTCACCTAAAATATTTATGTTATATAACTTATAAAAATTAATTCAAATTATATAACAAGTATTGTGATGAAAAAAAGTTTAGATATCATATTACATGTGTTACTAAAATAACTCAAGTATATCATAGGAAACAAATTTAGTATAATATAATTGAGTCTAACTAAATACGAAACATGAAGAAAACAAAATCACTGTTAGATTAAATATCAGTTATATTATTATAATAGATAACGTTAAAAGAACATTAAATAAAATAAATAGTAGCTATAACATATATCAAATATTAAATTATATTAAAATATAGATTATAAATTTATTATCATTATAAAAATTTTCCGTTTAGAACTTTATTATCATTTTTAAAAGTAAAATTCAATACCTTATTTAAAAATACCTTCTTTAAGAATACCTTACTGAAAATACCTTATTTAGCCAATAAAAGAGTACCTTATTGTTGTAAAAAAAAAACCTTATTTAAGAGAATTAGTAAAAAAAAACATTAAATAAAATAAATAGTAACTATCACATATATCAAATATTAAATTATATTAAATTGTAGATTAGAACTTTATTATCATTATATAAGTTTTTCGTTTAGAACTTTATTGTCATTTTTAAAAGTAAAATTCAATACCTTATTTAAAAAATACCTTCTTTAAGAATACCTTATTTAAATAATAAAAAAAATACCTTATTGGTGTAAAAAAAATTATTTAAGAGAATTAGTGCTAAATTGTATTAAATTTTTAAAAATACTTTATTGAAATATATCAAGTACTCTTCTCTTTCATGGCAAAAAGTGAGCTTAAATTCATCCAAATTTTTAAAATAATAAAATATATGTATAAAAGAAGGTTAAATTATATTTTTATTTATTTATTATATTTAATTCAGTTTCATTATCTTTTTTAAAGACTAATTTTTAAAAAATGTTCAATTTTATCTTTTTTGTCTAAATTGACATTAATAACGTTAATAAAATTGAAATAAAAATATAAAACTTTTTTTAAAAATTAGAATATCAAATTGAACTATTTAAAAATAATAAGACAAAATCAAATTTTAAAAATAAAATGTAAGACCAGTAATTTATCCATAAGAAAAATATGCCTTACAGATATATCATGTTTTTTTTTTTTTGGTTCAAGTATCCACCGTCGATAGCGGTGACTAATCTTCTCGTTACGAGGGAGACATCTCAAAGGATGGGATAAATAGCCTTAAGATTTAACGCGGCTGCATACACAAGGCATCACATACATGTATCAAAGAAGTATGCCTTAAAGATATAACATGCATGCCATATACTTAAAATAAATTTGATATATGTCCCTTTAGGAGACGTACATTTGATAAAAAAAAATAGTTTTATACATACATAATTAGATTAAATTTCACTTAAATAACAACAATAATAATAATAAATAAAAATAAACACGAAATGATCAGTTATCACCTTTAAAATTTGAAATAATTTAAATATATGTCACTAAATAAGAATGTAATTATATAATATTAATTTTTATTTAAAATATTTTAATTTATCTTGATAGTATAAATAAAACAATAAGACTTTGATACATATTTTTTTGTATCATTATTTAATCAAAATTAAAATTTTACTTTAATAATTTATATTGACCATATATTGTTATATAAGTCATTAAGATAAAATTATATGTTGACTACTGATTAAAAGAAAGTTAAATTATGATTTTGGTACATTTTTAATTTTATATATTAATTTTAATTATTTATCTGTTAAAATATTTATTTTGATTCTTTATATATTATATTTGGATCAATGTGATCCTTTTATAAAAGTTATCATTTTCAATTTTGTAACATAATTATAAATTAATTTTTGATTAATTCAAGATGTAAAAATTATAATAATAAATTTACCTATGTAAAATTATAAAATTCAATTGTTGTTTAATCCAAAAGAACTATAAGTATTGTGAAAATTACTAAATATTTACACATAATATGAAATTAAAAAAATAATTATTTTTTGGACTTATTATGTTTATGAGATTTTCACCATGCTTGCAAAATCCTTTTGTTTAAAGTTCAATTATATTTGATACTTTTCATATAAGTGTGTATCTCGTGAAATAAATGTAAATCTTAAATTGATTAAAAAATAATTAAAAATTATGTCACAAAATTTATAAGGAATCATTATTTTTTGAAAATATTTTATCGACCTAAATTTATGAAATAAAAAATAAAAATAAAAGACAAAAAATATAATTTAACTTAAAATATATATACATTTATTCATTGGATATAGACGTGCATACAGAAGACAATTGTGTTTCCAGTCAACCTAAAATATAGCAAGCAATAGGTTTTGAATGCTATAAATATCCCAATGCACGCTACATTTTTCAATCACTTTCATACAATATATTCTCTTGTGTGAAAAAAAAAAAAAAGAAGAAGAAAGAAGAAGTGTATTTCAGTTGAAATGAAGCATTTTATTGTTGTTTGTGTCATCTTCTGGACATGTACATATCAAGTCATGTCCCGAACGTTGTCTGAGTCTTCTGTTGCTAAAACACACGAGCAATGGATGTCCAAACATCAACGCTCCTATACCGATGAAGCAGAAAAGCAGAAACGCTTCAAAATATTTATGGAGAACTTAGAATACATAGAGAAGTTCAACAATGCTGAGAATACGAGTTACAAGATGGGTCTGAATCAATTTTCTGATTTAACCGATCAAGAGTTTATCGCTTCACATACTATCAAGGTTTCTAGCCCACTAGTGTCAGATTCATCCTCAGATACAATACCATTGAACCTGACTGGTATTCCATCAAACTTTGACTGGAGAGACAAAGGAGCCGTCACCGCTGTTAAGGACCAAGGCGTATGTTGTGAGTAAAGACCTTTTTTTGTTTTATGATAATAATCATTATACTTACAAATAATATTGTTTATACGTTTTTGCAAACCTCATGAATTGGTGCAACATTTAAACATAGGTGGTCACACGTTATGAAGATAATATATCTTATAAAAAATTTATGTTTGATTTTCATTGTATGTATGGATGTGTTAGGTTAATAATAGTAATAATACTATAAACGACATTAATATCTAGTAATAATTAGGAGAAACTCTTGACAATTTTAGTTTTAACCTCTCATGTTTTTTTGTTTGGTTTTAACTTTTATGCCTGCAAAAATAGATTTATCTCATTTTTTAAATGTTCTTTTCTTACAATCTGATACATTTATCTAGAAAGTTTAAATATATAGTATGATGGCATTTTATGCACGCTAAACAACTGATTATCCCAAAAGAATGTTTAACGAAAAGAAATTTAATGAAGCAAAAGGTAATCTGTTTTAATTCTATGTTGCAGCAAGCTGTTGGGCTTTTACAAGTGTGGCAGCTATAGAAGGCCTTGTCCGAATCAAAACAAATAAGTTGATCTCGTTGTCAGAGCAACAACTAGTAGACTGTAATAGAGAGAACGATGGATGTCATGAAGGTAACATGGATGTTGCCTTCAAGTACATCATAACAAACCAGGGTATCGCTAGCGAAATTGATTATCCATATGAAGGATCTGTCGAAACATGCAGGAGTAAGATGAAACGGCCTGCTGTTAAAATAAGTGGTTTTATAGATGTAACTCCAAATAGTGAAAAGCATCTGCTACAAGCCGTGGCCACGCAACCAGTATCAGTTTATGTTGCTATCAATGATAACTTTAGGCAATACAGATCAGGTATATTTGAAGGACCATGTGGAACTGATCTCAACCATGCGGTTACTGTAATTGGTTATGGGACAAGCCAAGATGGCACTAAGTACTGGTTGGTCAAGAATTCATGGAGCCAGGGATGGGGAGAAAATGGTTACATGAGGTTGCTAAGGGAAAGTGGTCAACCTGGAGGTGTTTGTGGCCTCGCCAAAGCTCCTTCTTATCCAACTATGTAGTTTCAAAGCAAAATTATAGAATTCCGATTTGTTCTTGTGTTTCTGTGCTGTAATAGTAGTATTCTGCTGAATTTAAGCATCAGCAGGGATTATCATAATCCGAAAATAAATATGGTTATTTTTTTTATTTGTTAATTATTATTGGATATATATTTTCGTAACTTCCTAATGTGACATTATATACAACGGCGTAAAAAGGTTCTCTGTGACTGCGTTATTAAAAAAAATTATTCTAAAAAAATTAAAACAAAGAAAAAATAATAGAGTATGGTGGTTACTTTTTTTGGTATCATTACGAAAGATGATGGACAAAAATACACTAGAACTAGGATGACATTAAGTTAACCCCTAAAACGAACAAAATAGAATTTGGAGGACTCCTCCATGAAACATTCAAGTCCAAATGTTGGACATCTCACTTTGTTAGAGAATGGACCACACGGTTGATCTCACGAGGATACAAACAAACTCTACCTCCCAAGTCCAAAAACATTGATCAGCCAACCTCCTAATAATATATCATCGTATTTATGTCTAAGGTGAGCCTCCCTCTCTACACTCTGAGCTGTTTTGATAACATCCAAGTAATTGAATTCGCAGATAGCCCTCTTACACCACTCCTTCCAACAAAGTTCAAGGCCTTCAACAGCAGCTAGAAGCTCGGCCCAGAGAGAGTTGCCGCCCTGGAGGCCAACTACAAACCCAAGTTTCCACTCTCCTACTGAATTCTGCAAATTACCACCAGACCCCATAGCATTAAGCTAGGGAACAAAACATCCATCCACATTCAACTTAACCAAAGATGGTTTTGGGGGACTCCATTGAGTGTTTACCTGCCACAGTTTGCGTTTAGCAAAGATAAATCCGGTTCTGCACCCAGGCTTCTTCAATCCGACGATACAAGTAAGGAAGGCATGTTATATTTAAGAGTAAAATTAAAACTAAAATGTGTATGTTCCATATGATGATTATTTGAAAGATGTAGATGATTTATAATTTATGAAAAAATAGTTTAAGAGTAAAATTGAAACTAAAATGTACATTAAAAAGACATGTTATTTTGTGTTTTTTTTTATTTAAAAAATTGTGTAACATTTATTTTATTTTCAAAATTTATTCTTTAATAACTAAAAAATCTATAATTAAGAGGTAAAAAGGTCAAAGTAAATATGTATATGAAAGTTATATAATAGTCTAGTAGGGATAAAAGGCACTTCATGTCTCTTAATTTTTCTTAAAGATAAAAAAAAAAAAATTAAAAGTGATTGTGAGTGATCATTTACAAAATGAGATTTTTTTTTAAGTATAATGTTTCACTGTACATAGAGATCAAAATAAATACATCATTTCAAATTTTTTTTATAATATGTATAGATTATAAATTATAGTTGTAAATTATAGATTAATCATTAATCAAATATAAAATTAACCACTAATAAACATTTTAATAATATGTAATAATATTAACCATTGATCATTGATGTAATGATGTTTATTTACCCTTAGCATATGACAACTAATAATATTTTTATATGCTATTAGTTTGGTGTAACAATCAATAACTTCGTAATAGTGTAACCATTTGTATAACAAAGATATCTTTATTTACACATGTAGAATTATATATATCAATATTCAATAACTATATACAATAATCGTGTTTATTTAGTTTTAGACACATCTCAAATAAAATGAATCAAATTTATATGTACAATTAATCATATATTTGCACATAATGTTTTTCTTTCAAGAATCTCGTCTTTTCTTTGTGTCGAATATATTATACGGAGATGTCGTTTTCCATAGTTATAACTAGGTTTTTGTCTATATTCGGTATATGTATGAAGTTGTAAGCTTTGAATAATTATTAGTCTCTCAATCAGTGAATTGTATACATTTATCTTCTAAATCAGGGTATCAGCCAGTTAAACCAGTTAAAAGTTAGAGTAATTTCTTTATTCATCTCTTAGACATTTCTTTTCATACATATAATTAAGAATCAATCTTCTAACTATTTTCTTAAAAAATAAAATTATTTATTAATCATGTAGTTAAAGAGTAATTTCTTTATTCACCTATTAGACATTTCTTTTCATACATATGATTAAGAATCAATCTTCTAACTATATTCTTAAAAATAAAATTATTTATTAATCATGTCACATTTTATTGATTATATATAATTATACATCATGTCACGTCTCTAATATTACATGAATAAAATCATTCACCTTTAAGAGCTTATCAATATTTTTATTTATTTTGTTTTAATATTTTATTATTATTTTTATTTGTATAATACACAGACATATTTATTATATATAATAATAATTTATAATAAATTATATATATATATAAATATTATATATTAATGATGGGGGAGGTACCTGCAAAAGAGACTCCGATGCTAAAGTTAGGGTTTGTATGAGTATGAGTCTCGTATATATGTAATGCACATACCTTTGTGTCAGTTAGTGTTGTCTTGGGCCTGAGATAAGATATGATATGATACGATATCCTCTCATATGATATGATCACGTTGTGACATAATATGGCATAACGGGAGAACGGTTTTGGCCTGGGACGAGATCTCCGGGCTCGGGCGTGGTCTGTCCGGATTCCGGGCTGACGTTGTTCAACGCGTGTCCGGGATGACCCTTATAATGTCAACCCGGGCTGAGAGCCCGGGTGCGAAATGCGGTCAGTACAGATACTATGTTTGAATATATAAGTTACATTTAAAATTAATATACATATATATTTTTAAATATAAATTATATTTTACCTTTATAATAAATATTTTGTACTTGTATTGTAACAAATTTATTTTTATTTATTAATAATTTAATTTAAAAGGTTTGTGTTTAATATATAAAGGTTTGTGTTTAATAAAGGTTTGTGTTTAATATATAAGAATTAATTTTTTTTTTCACTCTTAATTTACAAAATTGTTAATTATTTTCTTTTTACAAATATTCATAGAGGAAATAAAAAAAATATATTGACAGTGTATTATGTACAAACCTATATGAAAATGAAAAATATATTAAAAATAAGAGGATGAGTGTATAAATTAAAAGTGGAAAAGAAACATAAATAAACAGACTATTTATCCTCAGTTTTGAAACCTTACTTTTTAAGTGACATGCATATAACCTCATTAGAGTTTATGAGAATATGCACACGAGTGAATTTTCATTTATTATATCCTTTCATGCTCAAGAAAGTTATCACTATTGTTCTGTACATTCCAACATCCATTTCCTAGCTAGTGGTTTCTAGGTTGATCTAGTATAAAATTAGTGTTAGATGGTTAGAAATCATTAATAAATACAATAAATAATAATGTATAAGAAAATTTTCTTATTTATAAATTTATAAAATAATTAAGTAGTAACAAAATATTATATTTATTTTTGTAGGTATGTGTATTTTACATTAATGATATGCTTCGAATGCATGCAGATTATTATAAAAAGTTATACATTTATTTATTTTATATTAAATTTGTTAAAATTAATAAATATAATATTTTATAATATTATTGTCTATAAATAATATTTAATAAATATTGTAACACCTCAGTTTTCATAAATTATATTAATAATATTTTAGAAATTATTTCAATATGTTAATGTATTTATTTTGGGATTTTTGGTACTATTTAAGTAGGGATGGCAAATATACCCGTACCCGCGGGTAATACCCAAACCCGTCCCGACTTTGACGGGAAATACCCGGTTTGATTGGGTACGGGTAAAACCTGATACTTTAAATCGGGTATGGGTACGGGTATGTACTTACTCGCCCCGTACCCGTCCCGAAGGGGACGGGGATGAGGATTAAAATCACATACCCG